TTTTTGGGGGGGGTAATCACCTCAGTGATCTTCAACACATGTTAATGCCTGGAGCGAGGTGACCGTTCTGTGTGCAGATGAGCCTGTTCACAGTTGTTTGAATTGAGTTCATGCCCATAAAATGCACATGTGGACCAGTTATGCAGGCCACCTCCACACGTCCTCACAGAGACTTTGGCCTTGCTTTCCTGTAAAGACTGTTTTTCAGAGGATAGATGGTAGACAGGGTTGCTATTCGTTGTTTTCCTTCCCTGCTTTTTGGACACGCTTTTAATTTTTGCTTCCCATGCGTTTTGTAAATCTGTTGCTCCTAATGTAGAGGCTTTTGCTGTATTATCTGGCGGTTGTCTGACTTTGTGCTTGTGTTGTTGTTAAGGACCTGAGATTGCTTCCAGTCTCTGCAGGGAGTGTGTGTTTGCTCCTTCCTTGGAATGCAGGCCTGTGAAAGAGTGTGAATGATTGGAATGTGTGTATGCGTGTTTTTGTGTGTGTGTCCATTGGTTCCAGATCATGAATGTGAAAGTGAATACATGTAGTGAATTGCAGCTTATTTAAGAAGAATGTTGGAGCCTTGGGATTGTGTTTGCGTTGGTTCATAGTTAATTATACTTATTTGCATATATTCTTTTATTAGATTCATCCACATCAAACTGTTTCCCCCTTTACTGACTAAAGGACAGTTTCTTTAAATGTAGCAAGCCAATTTCTAAAACCATTAATATGTTATATTCTCTTTTTATGTATCTACTCGAAGTAGTGCGTTATTGTTAAAATGCAACATGTATTTGTATTTATACCCTATATTATATTTCTGCATCCAATTTAGTAACTACATGTTTGAATTCAGAAATTTGTAAGAGAAACTTGGTGCACAGCAAAAGCTTCTTCAAGACCAAGGAAAACTTAACATTGTCATGTTTGCAGTTTACCCTGAAGCATGTAGGGGACATAGCAAAGCAAAGGCACTTTGGTTAGATGAACTGCTAGATATCAAAAATGGTAGTTTGGAGATGCTTTTCATTAGCATGAAGGTGGTCGCTGTAAGCTGAAGAGGGACGGTGCTACGTGAAGGGCTATCCTGGAAGAGAACCTATTAGACCAGCTTCATACATAATACATCCTGCATTTGCTTCCCACGTGCAGTGAGCTGTCCAAGCTTGAAACACGTAGGACCTGTCAATTTATCATCTCTTATTTTTAAGTATGCTTTATCTACTTGACTCTTCCTGTATTACTTCCTTTTTTGACTCATTTGGTTTTTAGGAACTGATGCATTCTTCTTCATTATCCATCATGAATATATTCAATTTGTGTATCTGTCAGACAACTGAGCAAAGTCATTTGTCATTCCCTTACCCTTAAATATCATTAATTGAATGTCAAAGAAACACAACTTTCAGAATAAGGTTACTTCATCAAGTTTAAAATGAAAGGCAAGAAATGACAAATAATTACCATGTAAGCTGACACACTGATAAAAAAACAAAAAACGTCCTGTTTTTCACATTCCAATGTTTCCAACTATGATACAGTCAGAGCTGCAGTATCTTTGAGATGCATCTGTAACATGCAGATGATAAACTACAAAAATAGTGTCTTATATTTCTTTCAAATTAATTTAAGCCATAACTTTGCATTGCTCTATTACATAAAATCCAAAGAAAAGCATATGAACAAAATACCTTTATGGCTATTTTAAAAATCTGTTAGAATTTGCAGTATATGCATGACCCATTACACTTACACCCTTATTTTAGTTTATGGTTGTCAGAGCGTATAAAAAATTCACTAATTTTACATAATGTCTTGTCTTAAAATATTCAACCCATTTCTCTTCTGCAGGTGCTGGAGGATACCACAGGGGTTCGCAGAGTGGTGGTGACCCCACAGTCCCCAGAGTGCTACCCTCCCTCCTACTCTCCAGCTCTGTCCCCCACACATCACCTTCCCCCGTACTTGGCTCACCCCCACTTCATTCCCAGCTCTCACTCTTTCTATCCCACTGTCAGCCCTGGTGAGCTGCCACCTCACCAGTACTACCAACACCACCTTCCCCCAATGTACAGCGATCAAGGTACTCACTTTTACACCAGAAAGTCACCCACCTCCTGAACACCTTGAATTTTGATTTTAAATGACCAATTATGCAGTAAATGATCACAATAATATCAAATGTAAATTTCACCAAATTTTTAGTGTCCTTTCTCCTTTCAGAAATGATCCCAGTTTATGGGATGTCAAACTACATCAGCAGAGAGGAGACGTACAGTAAACCACCCCCTAAAAAGATAAAGGATCCAGAAAGACAGAATCGGCTCAATTCCCCTCCTTCCACTCTGTATAAGGGCAGCCTGGGGCCAGCACAAAATGGATATAGGTAATCATGAATCCTGTACCACTGACACTCAAAACATATTAGGTTAGAGCTGTTTAGTTTTTTTTTTCTTCTCATATTTGCTTCTTAAAAGGCTTAAAAATATCTTACTTTTATGACACGTTTTCCTGTTCTAAACATTTAACACTTTGTACATTTCATTAAAATCTGTGGGTTTTAAGACCGATGGCAATTTTCTCTCAATAAGTTTAAGATGCTTCTGTTTTAGGACATTGTAAATGAAAAATTTGACGCATTCTGCAAAAGGCCCCCAAATAATAGGCATCAATTATTTTCTTCTTCTCCATCTTCTTGTCCTGTTTGTTATTTTGAAAGCTGGTTCCTGTTCTGACCTCTGACCAGCACTGCCACACACATAACCACCCCTGCTTTTAACATAAGACCAGGAAATAAAAAGAGCTGAAATTGAAACAACAAAGTTAAAAAATAAAAGACACTGCAATATCTAAAGTAGCTTTACAACATAAAGTGACAAAAAAATAAATATAAATATATTATTATATCATATTTTTTAAATAAGCATTTGTTTTTAATTTCATGGTGACATTTATTTATTTCATAGAATATTTACTAGTATTTTATAAAGTTTTGTTTTCTATATATTCTACATGCCCTACATTTAGAATAAAACATTTTTGCACTTCTAGTGATTTGTTCAGTAAAATATCTGCTGCATGTTAATTTAGTGTATGCATACAATTAAGAGAAATACATTTGATTTAACAGTATAACTGTATGGTAGCTTGCAACAAAACATTCACACAGCAGCCTGAAGTGACCCAAATACGATTTTTTTCTTTAGCCCATATGTGACCTGTATCTGATCTTTTCATAATGATCTGAACCACCCAGATCCGATTTTTTCCAATGCTACCCTCGCCTTGGCTATGTGGTCCTGAATCTGATACATATCTGATCATTTCAAATGTGACCTGTGTCTGAACGGCCGGGTCGCATTCATTTGATCTGAACATCATTAATACTCAACAAAGGTCACTATTGTGTGTCTTGCTACGCAGAAGCGGGAATAAAAATAACAACCATGGCGGACAATAATGTAGAAAGCAGTCATTTTGTAACCATTTTGAAAAGATTGGGTTTTTAAGGTTTGGAAAGAGCGCTAGATGTTCTCCAGCACTACCATCCATATTTACCGTAATTTTCGGACTATAAGCCGCAACTTTTTCCCCATTTTTCAACCTTGCGGCTTATATAACAATGCGGCTTATCTATGGACTTTTACAACTAACGGCCACTAGCGTAATACCTAAATCTATGGATTTAACCATCCACAATGTTGACGTCACATGTGCTTCAACACACAAGTACGGTAACCGCACGCGGGGGAATGCGGAGGTCCTCCGGAAGCAGACTTCTACCGCGAGTGGTACCAGACAGAACGACAGCGAGAAAGGCGGACATTAAACATAAAAAACCTGCGCCTTATAGTCCAGTGTGGCTTGTATATGTACAAATCATGCAATTTAGCTTCTGCGGCTTATATTCAGGTGCGGCTAATAGTCCGAAAATTACAATACTTCTGTAAACACAGAGGATGTTTGCTTGTGAAGTCATTGTGTCCTCTACTGAACATGCACACTTAAGTTGTACAGAATGAATGCACTTCACACAGGAGATCACATACAAGTCGCATATATTTGGAAATGTCAACAGAAAAATCGGAATTAAGCATTAGGGCCTGCAGTGTGAACGTAGCCTTATGGAGGTTCTTTGATCAATCCCAATTTATGTAGATGTAGAATTTGAGTTAAGAACTCCTGTTCTATATCTAACAAAAACACATTTTTCCTAATGTTTGATAAATAGAATCAACTATATTTAGGTAAAAAAAAATGTTTTTTTTATGATATGTAAAACCTTTGCTGCATCTAATTTCCAATAATCAATAAGAAATTTGAGCATGTTTAGTCCCCAAACAACCTTAAGCTTCTTTATGTGTGTTAAAATTCATTTTAATATTGTGATTTACTTTGTGATCCAGTAACAAATCTCACGCCCCATCACTTGGGTCAGTGGGGTCGGGGGGTGGAGCCAGCAGTCCAGGAGGCAAGAAGCCAGAAAGACGACCTCGCTGCAGTCCACGAAACAGTGAGCCAGAGACGCACACACAAGGTAGGAAACAAAGCAGTGAGAAAAACCAGCAAACTGATACAACAAACTAAAGGGTGCCTCTTCCTTGATAACGTATGCTTAGCCACATATTTCTTAAAGGAAGAATGAGGGATTTTTCTTTTGCCACTAAAATTTCCCCCAAAACACAATGAGACAGAAAAATAAAAGCAAACTCAATGTGCTGAAAAGATCTGGAGGTTAGGATGGTGATGGAGACTGAGGTGGGAAGGTGGGGAAGAAGGGTTGTCTGGGTAACCACATAGCTGAACCTGTCCCTCAGCGCTATCGTTTTACCTTCCCCACAATACAGGCCTTGTTGGGGAAGGCTGAGCCAAGTAAGGGGGGATTGTGAGAGCAGGCTAGAAAAGATAGGGGGAAGGGGGTGTCACATACCTGTAGAGTCCTCCATGGGATGAAGGGAACCTTTGAGCTCTGTGATTTAGACGCCACAGCTCAGCATTATGCCTCATACACACATATGCAAAGAAACTGAGGAACACAACCACCCTCATGCATATTTTCTTTAAGGTGTTGTCAACAAGAGGAATGTTAAATACCATTTTTATGCCCTAACAGTACAGAGGGACAAGTAAGGAAGTGATGAAAGAAAAACATGAAGGGACAGAAATTCATTGACTTCTACACTCTAACGGGTCTCTCATGGTCAAGTGTGGATGTATTTGTTCGTTTTAATGCTTGAGGTCAACTAAGAACAAAAACAAAACACAAGATTCCATTTCCTGTATGCTACATTGATTTTACAGCCTGCTAATACTGCTATTTACATTAAAAAAAATTAGCATAAGATTTTTAAACTATTGTTTGGGGTCTTGCAGTTTACAGTTTCTTAAAGAGACTACCTTTAGTTTTCTTACTGTAACAGTATATTTCTAATAAAAAGAGCAGAAAGAATGAATTTCTTGCATTAATTAGAAGATTCTGCTTATGAAACTTTTAAAATTCAAGCAGAACATCAACAACTTTGCATTGTGCAACTATGGGTTATTTACACCACGGGAGGCATTAATTAGAATTTTACACCATTAGATATCTAACTGTCTGTTCAATGACACATACAATTTGCATTTTTGTATATAGTATGTGATTACCAGTTTATCCAGATTGCCATGGATTTTTGATTTAAAAAAAACATGGAATTTCAAACAAAAGCTAGTTTCTTTGGCGGAGTTCTACCTCTAACTATTCACTCTCAGCCACAAAATGGAAAACAGAATGATTTATTTAGCACATCATGTAAACAACTATTTCTGTAAGTTTTGGGTCCATACAAGTAATTCTAATAACTATAATTACAAATAGAATCTCTTAGAGGCCAAAAAGGAAATAAATAATTGATTGCTTTCTTTTTTTTCCTGAGTTTTGTAAGCATACATGCAGAATATGAGTAATCCTTTCCATTATATAGCAACATTGTTTTTTTCTAGGTGTAGATTTGTTCAAGCAGTGGGGGTTTGTAAAAACATGTTTTCTCAGTCCTAGAGCAAAGGGTGCTCTTAATAAGCTACAGGAGATAAAACATTACTGTCCAAAAAAGAAAAACAAGAGCAAAACAACAAGCATCTTCACTGTTTATTCTGTGTGAGTTGGAACACAACCATGAAGCCATTGTGGATCACTTAATAATGATGAATAGCCCATGTCTCAGAGGATTTATAAACGGTTTTCTTTTATAAAAAAAAAGAAAACAGTTTATATTCCTTAAAAAAAGGAATATTCTTTTTATATAAAACATGTGATATTTTCCTGTAACAAAACTTATAGAATAACCTGCCAGTTTTTGCTTTGTTTATACTTATACGTACTATAATTTATATGCCTTTTTTTTTAACCTTTTTTGACAAAAACATTCAATTAAAGTATTTAGTTTTTTTTTGTGTGGAAAATATGGATTTTGTGCTCGTTCATTTTCCTGTTGGTAAAATGGTTTCCTAGCCTATCAGTTTTGGGCCACCTCTCATTGGAAATTGACCACCACTACGGAAATCTTCTGGCTCTGCAACAGCTTTCAGATTTTTTTTAGTAAATCATCAAATAATATTTTGTTCTTATAGCTTGAAGATTATGTTTACTTTGTAAAATACAATATGAAAACAAAGTTTGAGAAAAAAGAAATCTGGAAATGAATAAAACAAATATTAAATGGCCTGGTTGAGAAGGTCTCATGATAGACAGTCTGCCTCATCGTAAGTGCACTGTATTAAGGGCTTAGTGATATAAAATAAAAACTATTAATATATTAGTAAAAAGTATTTCAAATTCATTGCTAAAAGTTCACCCTTCACCTCATACATCACTTTTTACAATAAGACCAACATGCTTTCTCCTGAATCAAACATATTTTAACTGGAATAAAGTGTGTGTGTTTATATGTCTATATGTTTATAGTGCATGAATTTGTGCATGTGTCTTGGTTTACAACTGTATTTAAACAAGATATTTAACACAAAAAGTAATATACGACATAACTGTAAAAAAAACTATGCAATAAACATTAATACAAACTGGGAAAATTATATCAATTTATATAATTATATAAAATTATACACTAAGGAATACATTTAAAAATTTACTCAATATATAGTCAGGGTATGATTGCTTATAATATAAGCATCTATCAGGGATAAACTATATCTGTCCAATTTAATGTGATAACAAAGATCTTTGTGTTTGGAACAACATTTTTATGTGAGCTTTAATTTAAATTGGGTATATTTGATTGGGGACTGCACACTGGTGTACTGTAAAGAACTGTCCAAGGTCCTGGGTTCAACTCCCGGCATAGGGTCTTTCTCCTAGAGCACGCATGGGTCTTACTGTATCTGTACCCTGCAATGAATTGGTGACCTGTTTAGCGTGTAGCCTGCCTTTCACCTTGAACACCTGGAGATGGGCACCAGCCTCCTGTGACCCTGATGAACAAGCAAAAGAATAGATGGATGCTTAAATGGTGCAAATGATCTAAACCGGAGGTCTTCAACAGGGGGTCCGCGACCCCTAGGGGGTCCTCAGAGGTACTGCATGGGGGTCGCAAAAGTTTTGGTTGATTAGACTTTTTTTTTTATATATTTCCCCCTGGAATTCTTTTTTCCATTAATTGAAATGTCTTTAAATACACATTAGCATGAATTCAACACACTGTAATAAACAGATTAATGGAGGCAGAAGATGTCTTTCAGTCATAAATGCACACAGGAGCTCTTTCAAGCTGGGCACCGTTTCATTCACAACACCTGTCCCATCAACAAGGAATCAAAATCAGACTTTAATAATCCCAGGGGGAAATTACTATCGTTACATGACACTATATGAAATAGACTGACTATAGCACCAGTTTGATATTTCACAATTTCATGCAATATATATAAATAGGGGGTCCCCGATAAATCTGGCGATCAGTTTGGGGGTCCTTGGCCTGGAAAACCTTGAAGACCCCTGATCTAAACCATTAATGAGCTATATAGACTTAGACCACTTTATTAATCCCACCTGGGGCAATTTGTTTGAGCAGACAAAAGAAAAAGAAAAAACAATTTGAACAGAGCAATGTGCCAACTTTTTGTCTGTTATAAGCGACACTATGGATGCCCTAAAATGCAAGAGGGAAAGAAAAAAAAAAAACTAGATAAGGACTTTTTATAAAAACTTAATGATGTGTTAGTGGAAAAAAAGACATAGAAGTATAAATGAAGGAATCTAAATTGCTAAGTTGCTGTTTGCATCTCTCATACAAGCTTATTTTTCAAAAGAAGATATGCAATTTTTCCACTATATCAGACTCAACACCAGTAAGTAAAGAAGGGGACAAGCACATATGATGGTCTTATGTAAACATATCACCAGAATGATTGACAATTAGGAGGACCACTTATTTTTATGATCCACCCAGAAAAAGAACATCCTCCACTATACCTTTAAGATCAGAAGAAGGTAAATTCATCAGGATAAATTGGTTTATTACTCATCATCACTCCCTAGTCATAATCACTTCAAGATAATCTGTAATACTGCTTTTTCAGGCTTCCTGTGGCGACTTTCCTCTGAATTAAGTTTTAATGGACAGTTAAAGCCAGTAGAGCACCTTTTTGTAAGATTTTCTCAATGTTTAGATTTACTTACCTATAATTAAAGTGCATGTACAAATGTTTGGAGATCTGTCCATTCAAATAACCAACGTACCTTTGGCGAAATGTTTGGCTTTGGTGCATTAGAAATTGTTTTCATTAGCCTACCACATGTATCATCTGAGATTTCCTAATTGACTGGCTAGATTTTTTTGGCCTAAGGTTTTCACAGTTTCATGATGCTCCTACTGTAGAATTAAACAAACAATAACAGATTTTACAGACAGAATCCTGTCAGCATGTTATCGACTGTCTGTTCCGGTCTACCAGGTTCTCAGTACAGGCCCGGCGATCAGGCTGACTCAGCTAGATATTCCTCCCATCAACACACACACACACACACACACTGGGTTTCCTGTAAAACAATCAGAGCATGATGGTCCAAAGAAGTGCAAGCAAACAGAGAAAGGGGAGGAATGTAGGATTTTAAAGGTGGGTGAGGTGAGACTGGAGTTGGAAAGACTGTAAATAGAAAAAAGACACAGATATGAAATGTCTTTAGTGGTGAGAGGGAAAGATGAAGAGAGAGAGACAGAGCTGAAGATCATAGTACAAATATTCCAACAAAGTTGCAGCTTGGCCATGCATATCCAAGTGCAGTCCAACCCCAAATACCACACACACACAGAGACACACAGTCAGCCGCCTACGCTTTGCCCTTGATGCCCTTTCTTTATCCGTGTGTGTGGCTATTGCCCCGGTGCCAGTAAGGCAGCAGGCTGGCTTGGCTTGCACAGTGTCCATTCCCCAGTAAAGCCAGCTCTACAGGCCCTTTTCCTCAGAACTGAGCCGCTCGCTGAACAGAAACAGATGTGAGCTCCGTCCCCTCTGTTCCTCCATCTTGGCTCTGCATCATCA